CTTGAATACAAAGACCTGACCCTTATCTAGAAATAACCGGTAATACAATTCCGGCCACCTAATACTTAACCTTAGCCTAGTCAAGTCAATAAATAGGGGAGGGTCAATAGAAATCAAGATTTTTATATATAGTTTATATTTTTAAATAATTCCAGCTTCAAATCTATCTGCTAACTTCTCGAACATTCTAAGAAATTCACATATCAAACTACCAAAATTTTTGTACAACCCATAGTCGTCATGTATTTTAGAGAGCTTACGTGGCATCCTAATCAAGACAATTGTGTAATTGGATAAATTAGTGTATAAAGTGGACTATTTATTGTAGTCACTTTGTTTAACTGAAGCTCGTCAAAATGCCTGAAATAACTATTAACGTCAAATGTTCTAACGACCAGAAATATAGCGTAACGATAGATACTTCTAAGACGGTGCTGGAGTTTAAGCAAGCTATTGCGGAGAAATGTGATACTACCGCGGATAGACAGAGATTGATATACTCTGGCAGAGTCTTAAAAGACAATGATACGCTCGAAACCTACAAGATCGCGGAAGGTCATACAGTTCACATGGTGAAGAGTTCAGCGCCTAGTGGTAAGTTTTCTTTCTCGTTTATTTTTGCAAGCTTCGCCGGAAAAAACTATCAATTTCCAGCATGCAGGCATGAAGCCAATTAAACTTTATAATAAACTGACTTTCCAAGGGCTTTTTACAGCCACAAATGATTTTTGTATATATTATTTGTATTATATTTTACAAGTCTAACGTCCGAATTCATAATGCATCTTGACATTAAGGCTCGTCACAGGCACAGGCACAGGCATCCCAACAAACACAATCTGCAACAACAGGTAACACACAGACCCCACAACAACCGACTGGAATTTCACCTAATCCATTCGCCCAATTTGGTGCAATGGGCGGATTTAATCAAGGCACAAATCCATACGGTGGTATGCAGAACCCGTTGGACTTACTCCAGAACCCTGCGATAATGCAATACATGCAACAAATGCTTCAAGATCCTCAATTCGTTGAAAGTATGATCCACATGAATCCTCAATTCTCATCGATGGCGCCTCAGATTAGACAAATGATGCAAGATCCAGACTTTCAGGCGATGATGTCGAATCCTGAAACTTACAGGAATTTAGCTGCTTTACAACCACTCATGGGAAATCTTGGGCCACTCACTGGTGGTGCAATACCAGGTTTTCCCGGATACAATGCGCCAGCAACTACAGGAACGAATCCGACCACCAACTCTACCACTAATCCAACTACAAATACAACTGCAGGAAACACTACTGGTACTACTACAACAGGATCTACACCTACATCAAATACCACTCCTAGTACCACTACTCCCTCTATTAACAACAATCCATTTCTTCCGTATTTTAACCCTACTGCAGCAGGTGCAGCAGGTACTGGAACTATGCCTCTATTTGATCCTTTATTGTGGGGTGCACTTGGTGGAGTACCACCTACCACTACACCTACTACTGCTTCTGCTTCTGCAACCTCACAAACCCCACAAACACCACAAGTGCCCCCAGAAGAAAGGTTTCAATCTCAACTTCAGCAATTGAATGATATGGGATTTGTGGATGCACAAAAAAATATTCGAGCGTTACAAATTTGTCAAGGGAATGTGAATTTTGCTATTGAAAGACTTTTAGATCCTTCATTTTAGTGGTGCAAAGATTTATAAGTTAGGAGAGGGGTCTTAAGCGCATATCTGAGTTTACAATTTTATCCTAACAGCTAAACCAGGATATATAGTTTGAAATATGATTGATTGATTAGTGCTTAGCGTTTTTTAAGTTATTCAAAAAACTGTATATTTTTTTTTTTTTTTTTTATAAAACATTTAATAAAAAATTTTTAAATAAATAACAGACAAATAAAAGAATTATAGTGAAATTTTTAGCCGATCACTATAAATTAGATTTTATTACAGTATTGGAAGTTTGTAAAGATAAAATAGATAATTATTTTGAAAAAATAAACAATAAAAGATATTGGCTTTTTTTATTTTATTATTAAATATACTAGAATTGATGACAGTATAAAGCATCTACTTTTTACTACAGTGCAGAAATTTTTAAACTAACAAGTTATTAATAAAGGTGGTCAAATTATGGGCATATACAGTATATACAGTATATATAACTTTACATAAAAATAAAACAGCATAATTGGATAATGTATGTATTAAACCAAACTACAGCATTCTGCATTGTATTATATATAGTAATATTGATACAGTATATACTGTATAAAATTTTTTTTCTTGTAAAATAGGTTTTGTTTAATTACAGTAATATAATTACAGTAAAATACAAACTTATTATAGTAAATTTACTGAATTGTTTATACTAATTATATAAAATCATAATCTAATACGTAGCAATAGATAAAAATATTAACAAATACGTATTATTACCAAAGTACGTATACTAGTTAATTTTTACTTTAGTGTTTATAGCAACAAACTATTATATATACTGTATATTACAGTATAAAAATAATCCAAATATTTTATTTACTGTAATAGATTTTTCTATTTAAACAACAATAAACAATAAATTTTATTTATTTGCACTTAAATATCAAAACCCATTAATAAAAGATTATTTAAGGTACCGTATACAGTATATATGTAATAATTGTTGCTATGAAAATATTTATTAAGACTTTGTAAGTTTAGTTGTAAATAGTAATGGAATTTTAAATTTGTCAAGTTTATTTCATTATACTGTATATGAGTGCCGCCAAGGGAAAACCTGTCATCGGGCTTTCAATTATATTTTGTACCGGACAAAATCTATTTGATTTCTT